CCTGGGACCCTTCAGTCTGCAGGCTGAAGCTCTCTCCACTGAGCCAAACTGGCTAGGACTCATCTTGATTTTTAAAATGTGTTTATGTCTTTCTCATCACTAGATTGTGACTACCTCCCAATCTTCTCTATTATCTATCCTCCTTCCTTGCTTAATTTTTCTTTAAGCACTTATCGCTATCTGGCATGCAATATATTTTACTTACTTGTTTGTCTCTCTCACCCCCAATAAAAATGTAAGCTACATGAAGGTGGAGACTTTTGCCTGTTTTGTTCATTGCAATATCTTTGACACCTATAACAGAACCTGACACATAGTAAACACTTAGTAGTTATCCTATATAATAAAAGCCTAATATGCTAAGTGTCCGACTGTTCATTCGACCATTCGACCAGTCGCTATGATGCACACTGACCACCAGGGGGCAGACCAGTAGGTTAGCTTGCTGCTGGGGTCCAGCCGATCGGGACTGGGTGAGATGGGCCGGACATGCCCTGGAGCCGTCCTGCGGTCCCTCCCCTGCCTGATCATGCATCAGTGGGGTCCCTCAGCCTGGCTTGCACCCTCTCACAATCCACAGGCCAGGCCGAGGGACCCAACCGGTGCATAAATCTGTGCACCAGGCCTCTAGTTCATTATATAAACAAATAAATCTTTGTCCAACATCTAGTACATGGTACTGGTTGTTAAACTCTATTGTAGCCTTGTTTGCTCATCTGAATCCCTTTCTAGGGAAGATCTCATGGGAACAATATTCCCTAATTAGGTTCTTAGGTTCTGGCATAATTTTAATAGGTTTTTTAAAAATTGTGGTAAAATATACATAATTTAACATTTTAACCATTTTAAAGCATTAGGTACATTTGCATTGTTGTGCAATCACCACCACCATCCATCTCCAGAACTTTGTCGTCTCCCTCAACTGAAACTGTACCCATTAAACACTAATTCCTTATTTCCCTCTCCTCTCAGACGGTGGTAACTACCACTCTACTTTTTGTATCTGTGAATTTGACTACTCTAGATACCTCATACAAGTAGAATCATATGACATTTGTCCTTTTGTGTATAGTTTATCATAATATCAAGGTTCATCCATGTTGTAAGCTTTATCAGAATTTCCTTCCTTTTTTAAGACAAATATTCCATTGTATGTATATACTACATTTTGCTTATCCAGTCATCCATGAATGGGCATTTGAGTTGTTTTTCCACCTTTGGGCTATTGTGAATAATGCTTTCATTTCTTTTGGGTATATGCCCAGAGGTGGAACTGCTGGATCATATGGTAATTCTGTGCTTAACTTTTTTTTTTTTTTTTTAGGAACTGCTGTGTTATTTTCCACAGCAGCTGCACAATTTTACATTCCCACCAGCAATGTATAAGGGTTCCAATTTCTCCACATTCTCACCAACATTCTTTATTCATTGCTTTGCTTTGATAATAGCCATCTTAATGGGTGTGAGGTGATACCTAATTATGGTTTTGATTTCTATTTCCCTAATGATTAATGATGTTGGGTATCTTTTCATGTGCTTATTTGCCATTTATTTATCTTCATTGGAGAAATACCCATTCAAGTCCGGCACCCATTTTTTATTGAATTTATTGAGGTGACATTGGTTAATAGAATTATATGTTTCAGGTGTCTAATTCTATAATAATACTAGTAGCCCTGTGATTATGTTTATAATTGAAGTTTAGTGTGGCTGGATATAAAATATTTAGCTTGCATTTTTTCTTTGCATGTCTTAAATATGTTATGCTATTGTCTTCTGCATAAACTATTGCTATCAAAAAATTTAATGACAATCTCATGTTGTTTCATTTAGAAGTGACTTGGTGTTTTTGTTATTGTTTTGACTAGATGTCCAAAAGATTTTTTTTCTTATTGCCCAATACGCATAGTAAAATATGCCGTTCTGGGTTTACTTTTCAGATATATAGTGTGCCTTCTCAATATATAATTTTAATATGCACTCTTTTTATTGTAGGAGAGTTTTCTTGGATTGTACTTTTTGTATTTTGTTACATTGTATGATTTGCTTTTCTTTTTTTATGGACTCATATGTATGTGGAATCTTCTTTGGTTTTATTTATATATATATAAACTTTTCCTCAAATCCTCCACATTTTTGCTAGTGCTTGGTATAGTCAGCCTTTCTAGTTTTAGCCATTCTAATAGGTGAATAGTAGTATCTGATGGTGGTTTTAATTTGCATTTTCTTAATGACTAATGATGCTGTGCATTGCTTTGTATACTTGTCACCTGTATACCCTTTTTTGAAATA